ATATCCACAACAGGCATATCCCAGCTGAGCCATCACAAAAGCATTGCCAATAAACAGTCCTTGTTTTTCTCTTAAACGTGTATAAGTTACATTCTATCAGAATCTCTATACCGGGGAAGAGAGTATCAAGCGGTCTAGAAGCACTTCTAACAGATGCAGTTTTTACTCAGAAGAATACCACAAATAAGCATTGCTGAGAAATCCATTCCTAAAAGTCCTTTATTGCTACTTTTCGCCATCAAAACAGTATGCATTAATGCTTTCCTTACTACAGATATGTTGAGTTTTGCCCGCCCTATAAATGGAGAGACTTGACCCGTGGCTGTAACCAAGCTAAGGTTTACCGGTGTCACTTTAGAGTGCGAAATAGAATTTGTTCTTTCGATGACATCTTTGCTCAAGATGGTTACATTTGATCATGTGTTAACTAATATAGTTATAAAAACTTGCCCGACTTTGGCAAAAGCAACTAAGCTTTTATTACTTGTCTATGATTCATTGGCCATTGACTATCCGACTAACTCTAGCCCCCTGTCTCCCAGCACATGACTGACCTGATCCGTCTGGTTCTATCCGTTATTAGTTTGATTAATGCATTGTTTCCGCTTTATTTTCCGATCGTTTATCGTTCTAATGAACTTTCCTAACTGTTTAGTTTTGACTGCTAACTCATTTGCCAGGTTCGTTTTACGTTAAAGAGGATATGTCTTTCTATATTCTCTCTGGATTACCTCGTAAACTTTTCATTTCGTTCCGCATCTAGAGCACTTGACTTACATTGTGCGCTAATGGCAAATTTGTGCACTCCACAACTCTGACCGTATACTTTATTTGCCCGTCGGCGAGACGATAAGTTTCTAAATCGTAAAAAGCATCAATGAATAGATCTAGAGACAGAAAGTCAATAACAAGTGATGACGCAATTGGATGTGCCTAACGTGTTAACATTTTGATCGCTTGGGGTAATTCGAGGATATTTTCATCTTTGTCCCTAGCACGCATTCACAATCTTGTTCTTATATTTCTGCATGGTTTGCGGGCCTATATCATGCATTCACTACATGACTAAATATTTCATAATCTTTCCTTTCAACTGGGATCCATTCATTTAGAAGCACTCTAGTACTACCTTGCAAACTGTCGGTTAAAAACGGAGATTTGATCATGTAAGCCAACCCATTTATGTTTCAACTGATTTTAAATTTGTGTAAAATATTTTCCAAGGTCAAAGGATCGAGGTCGCAGGTTACAAAGTTTATCTTATTGCCGTCAGCAGAAGGTAACATGTTCTAATTTACATGGGTTGCATTTGCATTATCATTTGCATTATCATTTGCATTATCATTTGCATTATCATTTGCATTATCATTTGCATTATCATTTGCATTATCATTTGTTTGAACCATCTTGATCGACGATGATACACAATTAAAGGTGCACTGGATACTTGGCATACGAAGGTTCACCGTGGCAGAAAACAGAATGTGCTAACTACGCATAACAATGCACGACGAAGGTGCATTCAAATCAGATAGCTATACCAGTGTACTTGCAGAAAGACAAGGGGTACTCATTACAAATCTATTAAACTAAATGGACGAAAATGCTACTCAGAAGGTACACAGCCCGGACATAACCGTAATCACGTATATTATGTACACTCCATGAATGTAGACTCAAGCCTATTATGTAAAAAGAGCAATTCACAAAAATGTACGAACAACCCTATTATTGAGGGTTAAGTGTGTCATACTCAACATTGTCTCGAGATAACCATTTTTGCAACTACGTTTAGGAACTAATCAGTATGTTCACTATACCAAAGCTAAAATGATTCAATAAATGTCCTCATCAAAAGAACGGGAGTTCCGTGATTATTGATTAACATCAGCTGAGTACTATTGCACACAATTTATCTTTAACAGATCAGACTGTTATGAAAGCCACGAACACTGGGTCATTGATTTATAATTTGCGAAGATTAAAAAATGCTCCTATTGTTATGTATTTGTGCTATTAAAATAAGCAAAAGAAAAAGAATTAAAGACCACAAGCTTAGTGAAATTTAACAAATAATTTATTTCCCTAGAATACAAAGTGGAATATGCGAAAAAAGAACCCACGGTATTACGAATTCAATATCCCAAAATAATCTCAGAAATAAAGACAAGTCTTAGTAATAAAAAGTCCTGAATAAAACTCAGTTAAAGTCCTGAAGAGATCCATAATTGAAGGCGATGACTTGTCTGTTATAGTCTACGAAGTACTGATATGTCTACAGTATCTGGTTAAATCACATACATATTATTTCAGGTTTTAATTCAGTATTATTTCTAGTGAATGTCTTTTTCCAAGAATTTTATCAGAGCACTTTTGTATTTCCAAACACAATAATTACTTGAATTCAATAATGAGAAGAAAATAAAATTCAGCCCAAACTACTCACAACATAATACAACTTAAAGTGCTAGATGTTAAAGCACGACGGGTAAAATCCTCACAGTCACAAAATAAGATATTTCTCTGCTTGACCACAGGTCACAATTAGCATTTTATAAAAGCAACAATTATCTAACAGAAAATAACCTTCTAGAATGAGCAAATCAGGCTTGTTTATTTACAGCACAATAGCCTAAAAAACTAAAAAAAATAACTTAGGAACTCTCCAAATCCCTGATCCAGACCAATGAAAAATATTACTGATAATAAGCTGATACACAAAGAGAATAATGAAGCCATTATTAGCTGTTTACATAAATGAAATAAATTTGTTTTTAAAAAGTCTATCAGGTCAAGCAGAAATGAGCACACTTTTGGATAAGGTCAAGTCCAGCAAACAATGGTACATTACAGTAACAGGTAATGAAATAAAAAATTAAAGCTAATAGACAAACTGTTTAATGAAATATATAAAACAGTTATGTTCAGGTCATATTGTACACATAAGAAACCCCCTCCAACATCAATTCACTTATCAATCCCAAAACGTGCTGAGAAATTTATTTTGTATAATACAATACGTACATGCATGTGATTGTTCGATTTGAAGTTCAGTTTAACTACTAGCTTCAATAATGTCTTTCAAAGTTATGACTAATTATGCAGATTGTAGGCTGAAATCCAAAGATGGAAGAAACGTATTATTTGATTTACAAACTAAACACTGAAATATTCAATAAGCATTCCTATTTTTGTTTTAATGTTTACTTTGGACATTTTTTTAAAAAAATTAAATAAAAGTCTTTCTGGAGAGGAGATTTGCTTTTGTAGTCCATTTTTTATTTTAAAACGTATCGCTTTTATCCCCTGGTGCCGGTTGGAGGGGCGGGGTGGGAGTGCAATTTAGAAAAGAATAAGTTTGCATGTGCAAGACCTATATGAAGGCTCGATTGAAATAGTTTAGGTTTTTTTTAACAATAAATGAGATTTTAAAAGTATACTTTATTTACTGTAAAATCTACAAGCTCATTCATAATATTTAAATAAAGTCGGCATAGATTTTGCATTTGAGGTGGTAAATTGGGAAAACAATATGAAATCAGTTTTTGAATAAGTGTATATTTATACTACTGAGTGCTGGAACTGTTAATTGAACTTGGTGCTGCAAGTTGCCACTATACTATCCATGAATAAACTCGTAATGAATCACCCCATTATTTGAGCCGAGGTGGCAAAGTTACAAGTGTGCTAGGCTTAGGACCCGAAGATTACTGGTTCGAATCATATCATTTGACAAGCCTGAGTCGATTACCTGCTGTATCCTTGGGCATGACACTTTACTCCAATTGACACAACGCGAAACCAAACCAAATTATCTTTTAAAATGACGAATAAGCAGTAACATTACTGTGTTGCTAGAAATAGTATATTTCTATGATAGGCTCTAAAAACACAGAAAAAAGTAGAGGGCCGTTTTTCTTTAAATCAAGCATAAAAATAATCAGTATTTTTGCTTCAAGATGCCTCTTACTTCATCTTGTTGGGACCATACAAGAGTCTTACTTTAGTCGGGTTTAACACATCTTATGTGCTTAGATCTCTAGGTGTTACTTAATATCACAAGGTTTTTAACTAATCTCAGTGGCCATCTTTAACTTCTTCTATTAGAAAATCGATGTTATTGTAGGGTTGACCGCCATGTTCTAAGCACACAATAAGCTATACATGGCGGCCAGTATAACTGGCAGAGGCAGAGTTCGGGAAAAGCCCGGGAAGAGCCACTGACCCACGGTAAGAGAGTCGATGTAGTTTAGTTGTAGGGCGTGGGATTCGTAGCCAATGGGTCGCGTTTTCAATACCATCTCAAAGCAACCTGAACCAGCTGCCTCGATGCATTCTTGATAAATGCACTTAGTTCACATTTCCTAACTATGCTATAACCAAGAACATGTTAAAATACTACTAAAAAAACCCCCAAAACAAACGTCTTTCACTACTTCAGTCTCACAGTATAAATGCTGTGCGAGTGAGGGATCGCACGTTTCCCACTAAATTTGCCAGAACGCTAGCAAGAAATTTCAGCAGATGGAAAATACATTTTGTCAGTAATGTATGATTTCTACATTCATTGTTCAAGGATCAGGTTCCCTACAGCCTGTAGAACATTTTTTTTTTGGTAAAGACCGATAATCATGTTTGTGTTGAGAAGGAAACAACAAAACTGATGAATGACTCATTAATCAGTACTCCCATTCAACTATTTCATTCATATTAATATACTAACGACAAAACATAAATATAAACAAATCCCAAAGGTTTTAACTTAACATTATATTAATATTCACTCGAATCCTATTTGGCAGTTGCTTAAGACTGAATACTAGCTTCACAATTTAAAATTTCTTAAAATAGAGACATGTGCAGTACAATGTCAAAACCTGAAAGGAAAGGTCGGACATTTCATGTTTAATGAATTTACTGTTTTAATTTATAGCAAATAAATCTATTCAAACACTTTACATTCGTAGAGAATATTTATCGCCTTTAACTAGTATTTCACCGGCCCGGTGGCCTAGTGGTTAGAGTGTCCGCCTTGGATGCGGGAGGTCGCGGGTTGGAACCCCGCCCGAGTCATACCAACAACTTATAAAAATGGTACTAACAGCTGCCTGACAAGGCGAACAGCATTAAGAGGAGGATAACGTGACTGGGTTTGACATCATGCTACATATCTGCGGCATGATGCTCCAGTGCTAGACATCGCTATAAACTGCCATATTGCAGACATCGTAGCGATATGACTGAAAAATTATTCAAGCTTCGTTAGATATATAAAAAATCCAAACACACACACACACACACACACACACACACACACACAAACACACACACACACACAGACACATTAGCATTTTAAATTGCATACATACAATTTGATATTTAAAAGAGTTTGTGAAAACTTAGACATACAATCTAAATTAAGTGATTTATTTTCGGTACTTGAGTATAGGATCTAAATGGTATGCATCGCTACTCTGTTTAAACTAAATCCAGTGCTAGACATCGCTATAAACTGTCACACTGCAAACATTGTAGCAATATGACTAAAACATTGTTAAAGCTACGTTTAAAATCTAAATCACATAACCATACACAGACTAAATTCAAACGAAATTTGTTTATGTCGAGATTTCAACTTTGCAATTTGGCTTGCTTTTTAACTTGGATTTAACAGCAAACCAGTCTAACAAAAATAATCACTCTTATTCCTCCTTTACGTCTCATCTTATACTATACTACTACTACTACTACTACTACTACTACTACTACTACTACTACTACTACTACTACTGAGTAGATTATATCGGATGATTACATTTGAGAGAGGAGGGAAAGAAAAAGAGGGACAAGGAGAGGAGTTAGCATCTTCCATCTAACACGAAACATGCCAAATGATTGAAGGTGGAGCAGCAGTGAAAACATTTCTCTTCTCTATCGTTGATTGTGGGCACTGTATAATCAATCCACTGAGATAGTGGACAATATTTTTATTTGCATATTATAAATTGTGGTATTAAGGAATAATGATTAGGCACGACCATGGTTGATTCATCATCAAATAGAATAAATGAATTAATTAAACTTCGGTATCAGACTGGTCAAATTACAGGCTTGCCGATCTCATTATGTGAGCCTATTCAAAAAGTCAGTTCTATAATTACGGTATAATTACTGTACGATGTATCATGTAAGGCCCACGAACTTTACATTTTTGATCTACGCATGGTGTTGAAGATGTTGGAAAATCCTGGTCAAAAAGGAAAGCATAGAAGACAACTTTCCCAGAGGTGATCCCTTTCGATATCAAAGAAGATGACGGTTATGGTCTGTTGTTTGCATATGACAGGACTGACATTATTCTGAAATAAATAGGTTTGTTATTGCTGGCTTTTAAAAATCATTGTTGTCTTTTTGTTGTTGTTGCGGTTGTTCTGGGGCTTAACGCCATTTTTCAGCACACGATAGGCTATACATGGCGGCCAGTTTTAATGATGGAGAAAGAAACCGGGAAATCCACAGAAGGAACCACCGACACATGAGAAGCTACTAGCAAGCTTTCTCACATACCCACATTCGCCGAATCTTAGACTCGAACCACGCAGACATTGGCAGTGATCAGTAACGGAGAGCGCTTTAGACCACTCTGCCACTCTTGGCCCTCTGCTTGATTTTTAAAAAGCATTGTTCTCAAATTATAATTGGAAGATTAAATTGCTCTTTTATTGTTTTAAAACTTGGTCCCTTGGAATACTATATTCCAATTTCATCTGCCAAATTAAATTGTTATCTGTAACCTTTAATCTATAAGAAAAATGGTTCTATCGTCGTATTTAAATTTTAAAAAAATAATTCTCTATTGCTTCTCCTGCTGGCAACACTGTTGCTGCCCTAAGACGAAGATTTATAGCACATCGTTAGCATGGTCTGTCAGAATCATTAACGTTGTACCATAATCCATAACTGACATTTTGGCCCTGATAATAAATATTCTCGGTTCCCGTAGTCTATAAAACTAATTGCATAACCGACCCACGGCGTTATGCTCTAACTTAGAAACTGGCCGTACAGCTGAATATATTGATTATTCGTATGTAAGGATTTTTTATTGCAGGATTTGCTTCAGCAGTAAACTATGAACTTCGGTAGCTCTGAAAAATGGAAAATAAATAATACCAAAGTGAAGTAATTAGAATGGGGATGAGGTAGTGTAGCAGTCTGGAGCCATTGAAGGTCTGTGTGCAAGACTGACACATTTTCCACGAGATTTTTCTTGTACGACAAAATAGTCGCAATGAGTTGCTATGAAGAAGAAGAAGAAGAAGAAGAAGAAGAAGAAGAAGAAGAAGAAGAAGAAGAAGAAGAAGAAGAAAGAAGAAGACGAAGAAGAAGAAGATAGTATTGACGACGGTGATGATAATGATAACGGCAAGGACAATAATGACAATAATGCTGAGAAGAATTAAGATATTGATAATATATGGGAAATACTGCGGCAACTCCCATAACCAACGATTAAGTACTCTATTCCCTGAATTATGTATATGCTTACTGGGTCAGTGAGGAGCCCGAGTGGACCAACATGTGCGTGTGAGCGCGCGAGTGCATGATTGCGTGCGTGCACGCACGTGTGTGCGTGTGTGTGAAAAAGCTTATCTACACCTACCCGTGGGTGGATGGTTTTTCGAGTCTGTTTCCTCCATAAAATATGCACTGCCCACCATGTTATGCGCTGAAATATGGCGTAAACCCCATAAAACCAAGGTCGTGACAGAAAAGTAATTTGGACGGCAATATGTACAAACGTACATGCGAACACCGGCAACAGAAAATATGGGAAACCTGTTAAGGATTTATAAGTACAGTGTACATAAATGGTGTAATTAATATCTTAACTTACTCTTTTTATTATTTCTCTTATTTAAAAACATGCTTGAAAATTTGCCTAGTTTGTAATTTTTTGTGTTAGCCCTTTAGTAGGTCATTTGACGTGTTTAAGTACATGTAGCTTCAACAAATGAGATGCACAATGGAAAGAGAGAAACTTTTGCAGAAGCAACTGTCATAACAACCAGCAACCGCACGCTATCAAGCGTGTCATAATAATGTCCTCAGTTTAGAATACAGCAGCCCTTCAAAGAATGAGAGTGGTCTACCCACATGATATCGATCAATACATAGTCTTAATATGCAAACTAATCTGATTGAAATCTAGATCTGCTTGTGATATGTAAACCTGAAAGACACATACAATGACTCAAGTTTTGCCGATACTACATAATTTAAATATACAAAAGGTGACGTTTTTAATGGCGGGAGGTAACTCCTGATATTTTAGATCGATTAGCAGACAAGTTATTCACCTTCGTACGGAATATAATGCAAATTCAAACTTTGGATCTTCTATTATTATTATTATTATTATTATTATTATTATTATTATTATTATTATTATTATTATTATTATTATTATTATTATTATTCAAAGAACAGACCCATACTATATTAATTATTTTTTTATATATTTTTAAAAAAAATATCATCTGATTAAATATAATTTAATTTTATGCAAAAACGAAACATAGTTATAAACGAATACATCTTTCACTTTGATATCAATAAAAAGCGAAGACCAATCAACGATTGATCAACAGTCAAATGTATTGAGGCAAGATACTTGACAGAGGGAACAGTTTAATCCAGCCAAATGTTTATATCTGGCAAAAGACATTATACATAAAGAAAGAAATAATAAAATTAAAAACCAAAACAAACTGTGCATATTTACGGTCAGTAAAAAGATATAATCAAACGTTGATATGACCTGCTATCAAAGTAGATGTGGCATAAGATGTTTGAGATCAGAACCTTTACACTTAAAATCAAATGACCATGTGTAAGGATTATTATGGATTGTCAACTCGCACATTCCGATTAAAATCGGATTTACGACCAGTAAGGATTATTAACTCCCACATTCCAATTAAAATCAGATTGTGTGTGTGTGTGTGTGTGTGTGTGTGTGTGTGTGTGTGTGTGTGTGTGTGTGTGTGTGCAAGGATGACAAAGATTAAGAAAGCTGTTCAAATTTCTTTTTAAAACAGAATCAGGAACGTCTGTTTTTTCCAAAATTAATATCTGGTCACGAGAAATAAATAAATTCTTCCACATAGAAATAAACTCGTTGTCGCAAGAATCATGCAAGAAAAAAGATTCTTGCATGACTTTACAAGTAAATTAAACTTATGAATGATAATCCATAATGTTCGTATCCTTCGTATAATTCACACATTTATATGCGTAATTGTTTTCCTGGTTCTTCAACGTAGGTTTTGGCGAGGATTCATCCTCTATTATTTGACTTATTTAATTATGTAAGGTTAGTTCAATCCCGCGACGATTCCTGGTCGTTCTGACATATCGACATGCGAGTGAAGACAAAAAAACAGTCACGGCTACCCTAATACATGTGTGCTAAGATTTTCTCCTATGAAAATCAATAGAATAAATCTAATTATTAGGATACTGTTTTTTTTGTGGTGTTTTCCTTGGGAAAGCATTAAAAGCAAAGCTGCATGACTGGAGTAGCATTAAAATAGTAGTCTGAAATTGACCGATCCTTCAACACCTTCTAAATCTACATTGACTTTCCCTCCTGGGCGTTTTTCACTATCGTAATTGTAACCTGCGTGAGCCCAAAAGTGAAGTCTCACGAAGTGCCTCAGTTATATTATTACAGTCGATGTAAGCTAACTGGCAGATCGATTAGGCTTTTACTAATCAGTTACCTCTTTTGTTGGCAGGCACCCTGGTTCTGGGCGCGGAAACGTCGAATATTTTCAGTTTCAAATAACACGATCTCGAATTTCACCATACTAATTGTTTCATCTTCGATGGACACCGAGTAAAATGTACTGACTATATTGAGGTAAATTTTGTGCCGTCGCGAGAATTTCAGAATATACGCGTATTTGTGAATGCAGATGGAATGAAAGTATTCTGCGAGGGCCGTCGGTCTAGCGGGACTCTAGCCGATTACTATCGATATGGCCGACAACATTTCTGACTGGTGTACC